TTGACTCAAACTTCTCGCCGCAGCAAACGCAGTCGTAGGTAGGGTAGGGCATGATGTATTAGTGATTAGAGGAAAGTATCAACTGAGTAACGTAACAAGAGGGAAATAGAAGAGCTGAAGAAGCAACTTGCCAGTCTGGATGGCTCCTGCGTTCTGCATGCGTTTTATATGCAGAGGCTGTCCACAGCTAGGACCGGCTTGATGCAGACAGCCACACCAATCACCGGTCCAGACGGTCCAGTTTGCCTTCTTTTTTTTTTTTTTTTTTTTTTTTTTTTTTTCGCTTCTAGGCAACGCTGATGTCCGCTCTAATAATAGGGCGATAAATATCACAGGACAATGCAATGGCGTCTAAACTGCCCAACCAACAACCCAACCAAGCTGCGGCAGGGATGTATGTCCGCGATGGCTTGGAATAAAAAAGAACGGTGCTGCTGGTGACTACACAGATATCAACAGTACATCAGCAGAAGCTGAAGTTCTTTGGGAGTCTGCAGACTCCTTGGCACATCCAAGGCATGGGACCTAGTTCCACTCATAGCTGTGTACTTCATGGCACGACCCTATGCGGAATCCCAGGGCCATGGCCATGACTAAGGCTTATCCGGCAGCGGACTTGGGTGATCTGCAGCAGCCAAGACAACCCTCCGCTCCTGCGACTATGTACTCCTGCTAGAGCATAAATAGCATACCCTCGCCCTCTGAACTGTACAGTCCAGCTCCTGGTTCCAGCACATCCACTATTGTTTGTTCCACATTTGTATAAAATACAAACTACCACTAGCTGATGAGTGACGACCATGAGGACCACGATAAGCACGACGGGCACGACAAAAACGCCTCATCAAATGGCCACATCAACAACACGCACCTTGGGCAGGTCGCCGCTGTATCCATCGCAGCAATTATCGGTTTCATCATCATTATAATGCTGATACTGCTTCTTGTTCGCTGGATTCAGCAACGGCGGAAAAAGAAACACCAGCAGCAGCAACCACAGCAACAGCAACAACAGCAACCTGAGACCAAGCCGGAAGAGCAAGTGTAAATGATTATTGAATAAACCTAGAGTCGCCAATGAATGTGCAGAAACCCTTGTATAGATTGTTTGCGTCTTCTGCTATTGCTGCTCTAATATTCCAAACAGCATCCTATACGTTGTAATAGCTTTTGGAGTGCTGCCATTTCTCTTCTCTCATCTATATCTTTACTTATCTTTACCTGTATATAAGATTTTATAGTCCAAAAGTGTCCAACCGTTTGCTGGAACGTTTTTGATGGCCTGAAATGATTCATGCTCTTTTGGCCCTCACGGCGAATGTGCAAACAATGCTGACTAGCAGCCGAGCTCGCATCACAGGCAAAGCAGTTCTAGTAACTAATATTACTCATCTGAAAGCAGGGGTCTTCAGGTACTGGAGGCATTTTGTAGACATTTGCAAAGATGGTGCTGGGCCCTGTACTCCCTGCCGAAGCACTTCCCTAATGTCCCTGAAGTTCCAACAATTGCTATTACGAGAAACAGATACTAGTGCATGGAAGGGGAGGCTATAAAGGTGTTAAGGCTTGGCTGCGCACCGATCGATAGGCGGCGGTGCAACACCCCAGCTATTAATGCCAATATATGTGACGTACACCATGATGATAACGCCAACGGTGCCCAAGGTGGCATCCTTGATCTTGACCCACTGGCTGGTGGAGGTTTTGTAATGCAGGGCGGTCGGGAAGATGAAGCTGAGCGGAGTGCACGAGAATGCACCGATGATAGCAATGAAGTTATCGAACTGGTCAGCGCCAAACACGGCCACCATAGCAATCAGAAAGACTGTTCCGGCGCGGAACAGGTTTTTCTGCCACTTCACATACGGGTCGCCCTTGCCAGAGCCAGCAAATAGGTTGGCCTCAACAATACGGACAGCGGGGAACAGTTGCAAAGGAACAGATAGCATGATGGCCAGCGAGTAGAACAGCTGGACACAGATTGTGCCCCACGAGCCGCTGGGCAGACTCAAAAGAACGACAGTCTCGACTTCCTCGCCAAATGCCATATACGACAGTGAGCCAACAAGCACACACGCACACACATACACAGAGTGCAGAAGTCAGGACCATGGGGAACTTGTCCTGGTGTGTCATGCTGTCGAGCACGGGGATCACCAGAGTCACGCCTTCGTATGCGAAGACAGCCGTGCCAATCAGTAGCGGGAACCGCACTGGGTTGAACTGCACAACATCGGCAATTCCGTGCTCCGACACAGTCAGGATATCGTAGAACAGGACGTATCCGAGCCCGACTACAATAAACAGATTGGCAGCCAGAGCGAATGGCGCCAGTTTCTTGATCTTGCGCACCCACGACAGCGGAATGTAGGCAAGGAGCTGGATAAGAACCAGAAGCTGGGCGAAAAGTCAAAGCGGCACTTTGTCAGGACATTCCAAAGGTCCCTCATATTTGTGGCAATAAAGATTGTGTAGGCTGAGCAGAACCCAAGCTGTGCTGCGACAATCGACACAGTAATAAAGCTGCGCATCCACGGGCCATACAGCTTGTTGCCAAGGTCGCTGTAGCTGCCGCCGACCTTCAGATACACATCTGCCAGCAATATCATGCAGTGCCAGGCATACCACGCAACAAACGTCATTACAAACGCCGACGCTAGAGGCCGCCATTGGAAAACGCCTTAGGCAGCACGAGAACCCCGGTGCCCACAAACGCCTTGACCAGCAAGAAAAACGCCTTCGACTGGACGCCGTCGCATGGATGTCTCTAGCCGACCGCTGGCGTGCCAGCAGCGGTGCCTCCTCGCCCTCTTCCTCCTCATCGTCTTCGTCGCTAGGATAATCACCTCCAGCGAAATGGCCGTACAGGCCGATGAAGTCGACAAAGCTGTCGGTAAGCATATCCACCTGTCTGCCCTCGCGCTCGCACGGTCCTGCACAAAGTGCCTGCGCATTCCACCGGCGCTCTCAATTGGCTGCGAGACACGCCTAGGTCCCAATCGGAATCCGACGCCATGCCCGAGAACGACCCGCGGCGCTTGCCCCGCACAGACTGTGTCGGCGAATGCTTCTTCTGCCACTTGTAGATGCCATGGGTGATATCGCCTGACGGCAACGTCAGCGGGTCAACCACCTCCCGGGCATCCTCCGCCTCATCGTCGTTGATATCGCCGGCATAGCCGCCCTCGTCATCCTCCAGCTCTGTTCGCAGCTGGCTGGTGGCACCTATCGACCCCCGCGCGCTGCTCGCAACAGAGTCTCTCGCCCTCGTCACCAAGTGCCGCCGCAGCCGCCGTGCGGTCTCGTTGGCATCGAGACGAGCTGGACTGGAGCCAAGCCGCGCGGAGGCTGCGTCAGAGTCGCCGGCATCGCTGCTGGCGCTGTGTGCGTTGTTATCGTCCAGATGGGAAGTGCGCGGTAGGGAGGAGGGGACAGAGGTGGCGAGTTTTTCAGTCGCCCTGGCCATGCTCACCGACCCACGGATACTCAAGGGCGTGGACTTGCCGCCACTGCCGCTGCCTCCGAGCTGGGCGTTGCGCGGTAGCCGGTTGTCGCTGTCGGACTGGTGGTCGGCGTCTTTGGGCTTAGACATAATAATACAACTGAATGCTGCTGTCTAAATTTGGGGGGTAAAAAGAAGTAGAGATTATCTAAAGGCTTATTGGGCGGGTCAAGGAAAGAGAAAAAGACCAGCAAACAGTCACTTGAGCTTGGACAGGGATACGTAAACTAAATCGAGCTGGCGCAGCATTGTGCGCATATCCGACTCGGACAAATCCCTGGACCGAACCGTATCTGAACCACCTGCGGGCTCCCTCAGCACCTCGTCCTGCCACACCCTCGACATCGTAAACAGCGCAGCGCTCACCGTGGCAAAGCTCTCCGGCTCAGGGCTCCGCGCCAGCAGCTCCACGCACTGTGCTGCAAGGCTTGAGACCTGAGCCGTCAGTGCTCCAATCGCCTGTGCTCCGTCGCCTGGCGACTTCACCGAGTCAGTCTGCAGCTTCTGCGGTAGTGACGTAGGCGTACCAGGCGGGCTCTTTGGTGACACACTTGCCGAGCCGCCTACCCGCATCTGCTGCAGTGTGCTGCTTGTATATCGCTTACGCGCCTGAAGCATTGCACTTCGTCGGCTTGCTGCTGCTGCTGCTGCTGGCCCGGGCACGACTGGTGGTTTCTGCCCATATCCTGCACCGACCTGCCTCCTAGCGGGTCGCCGTCAATAATCCGCAACCCAATTGCATCGTCATTGACCAGATTCCACGAGTCGTCCTCCCAAACCGTATACTGTTCAGCAATCTTGCTTGCCGTGCCTCTCGTCTGCCTGCCCCGCAGGTACCCGGCCTGCAGCGCCAACCGCTGGACTGGCAGCAGGTTTGTCTGCACCAGCGCCTGCACCGGCACCTTATTCACGACGCTCGTCGGATCCATGATCGGTGATATTACAGCTGCGTGTGCTGGCAGCGGCGTGTTGGGAAACATTGGAGTACGCTCCAGCACATCCTGCCCAGGTTGCGGCAGTGGCGGTATGTGCAGGAGCGTCGTTAGGCAATCGGCGTAATCGCCTTGCATCAGATCCTGCCGATTCGCTAATAGCAGCGTCACGCCGATCCAATCCACAAGCCCCAGCATCCCCGACACATTATCGGCCAACATGATATCCCACAGCGCCATCACATCCGACAGATGTGCAAACTCGCGACTGAAAAGAAGCCGGTACCACCGAATCCCGAATAGCTGGGGTTCAATACTAAGCTCCTGCAGATGTCCGGCCAGCTCAGGGTCCACAAGCGCAATCCGCTCCATCAGGCGCTGACACTGTGAGATTATTGGCGCGTCTATGCTGCTGCGCCGCCGCGCATTGACTGCCCGCAGCCCAGGCGATACCATGCTGGGCGACTGGAACCACACAGTGCAGATGCGCATCAGCCGCGCAAACATCGCATACGCGTCATGCTCCACATACCGCACATCCACCACGCGGCTGACCACAGCTCTCCTTCCTCCACACTGTCAGCCTCCACTGCCATCAGAATTAGCGCCAATAGCTCATGCATGCCCTGTCTGTACTGCAGTGAGTTGTGTACCTTGGCATGCACAAACAGCACATCTCCAATCATCTTCTGCACGCGCGCCGGTCGGAAATATGCCTGGTCTGGGAAGGTCCTCGTAACGTCCTGCATTATCAGTGTGCGCAGCTCCTGGTCGCGATGGTACTTTTGCCACGGGCTGTCTTCGTCCAGCGACAGCGGGTTCATCCGCTCCCAGTCGACATCTTTCCCTTCTGTCGCCAGTTCGCCTGGGTCGACTATGTATTTGGACCGCAGCTGCGTGTAGTTTTGCCGCTCGCGGTCCATTG